GGGCGGTCGCGGGGGGCGGCGTGCGCGCAAAGCCCCGCGGGGCTGAGGGTCCTGTCCTCCGTGCGTCTGTATCCCCGGCTGTGTTGGCGTTCGCTCGGCCTGAGGCGCCCGGCCTCACGAGGTAAATGGACCCCGGCGGCGGCGCAGCGGGCCGGTCGCCTCCTCCCAGGACACTGATGCGATCCAGAGCTGCCCTTGGGGTTTTGACGTCGTACGATCGCTGGGTTGGCCGGCCACCCGCGGGGCTGCGGTGACAGCTAGCCAGGCCCAAGCGGGCGCCGGGCTTGCTGCCCCGGGGGCTGCCGGCTCCTCGGGTCCCACTTGTCACACTTTCCACAGCCTCTGCAGGGAACATTGGGGGAATAGCATCCCCAGTTTTCCAAGGGGGCTGTTTCCTCAAGGAGAGGGGGTCGGGAGGAGGGTCCCGGCGATCACGAAGCCCCTGCTGAGCTCCGTGATGACCTTGGCAGGCCCGAGGGACCCCGCGCGGCTCTCCCTCCCCCGCCCATCCCGGCTCGCCTGCATCTGTAAATCTGCGCCGCCGGCTCCGGGTATGGAGGCAGTGACCTGGCCTGGCTTTGGGCCCCGCCTCATGCCTTCGAGGACCTTGGTGTGGTTGAACCCACGGCGTCTTGCGAGCCCGGGTTTGGGCACTTGACTTGTTTAAGAGTATGTGTGGTTCTGTTTTCCTCTAAATGTTCCCAGGAGACCTCTCAACAGGTGTCAGGTAAGGAGCAAGCGACTGTAGGTTTCTCCAGGGTGGGCCTAAGATCCCCTGCATCAGAGTCACCGGGGCCCTCGTTAAAAGGGCAGATTCTGGGGACCCACCCCTAGAGGTTCAGATGTTGCAGTTATGGGATGTGCCCCAAGACTCTGTTTAATAAGTTCCCCAGGTGGTTCTCAGGCACATTTGGGGTTGAGAACCTTTGTCTTAGAGTGAGGAGAGTGGAGGACCCGGGGCATAGCACTTATACCAGTTTTGTATGTGTTCTGTGGGCTCCTGGGCAAGACAGTGCCTGGCAAGTGTGACATCTCTCTGTGGTGTTTTGTTTCTTCCTCTGGGCTGACTTAAGAGTTGGGTGGGGAGAGGCATGCCAGCTCTGCCTTGCCCTTTGCTTGACGTTTAATTATGAAGAATTTCAAACATACAGAAAAGTTAAAGAAATTTTACAGCAAACACACATAGAACACCATCTAGAATGTCTAGCATTTTATTGTACTTTATCACAAGTCTAACCATTCAGCAGTCCATCTTATGTTTTTGTTTGTTGTTATGTCAAAGTTAATTGTAGACATGTCCATTTCCCTCCCAAATAGCTAAATGTGCATATAATTAAGTAAAATCTTAGAATTCTTACTGTTTTTTAACTAGGAGAAGCCTGGTTATTTGAAAAGTCATTCTCTCTGTCTTCCATCCCTGAGGAGCTCAGGCATTTGGAGGTTTTTCCATAGGATGGGCCTCTGGAACCAAGAAAGAGCTTTACATGTGCTCTTATAAAGATTTGAAAACAGCAGGCCATGGTTCTAGAACCACCCTAAGAGCGAAAACGTGGACTGTGTGATGTAGGGTAATACTTCAAAGAGCAGGGTTGTTTTGAGGGGGAGCTAATGGAATGTGCCCCGATGGCCAGGTTGCCCCAGCAGATCGTTGGTAGGAATTGATGTAAGTCATCAAGTTTGTATGCCGTTTCTCCTCTTTACACGTTCTGCTTGCCCGTTTGAACCTACTGGTTCGGTATGTTTTCTAGAGCTCCAGGGGCACAGGGCTGTGTAGCCCAGTTAACAAGCTCTGAGTCCCTTGGTCCCAGGTGCTTTGTTCCGTAGCCACAGACACCAACCCTCCCAGTAGTCTCAGAGGGAGAGAAGTGACAGGTCCTGTGAAAATTTGTCTTCATTTTCAGAAACACTATCCAAGGGGCATGGACATGTTTTTATTCATCTCGGACAAAGTCAGGGAAGTGTGGCAGTTAAAAGTCGTGGCATCTTAGATGTGGAGGAAGGCAGTTGTGCCAGTGAGAAGGCAGCATGCATTGTGAGCCCTGCAGAGAACGTGGCCCTTAGTGGGGAGGAGAGCCAGGCTGGCAGTGGTGACATGAGGTTTATTGTGCCCTCAAAGAGGGACTTGGAAGTCAAGTGCACGGAATGGAAATGTGCTGGTTTCTAGGATCCCACAAAGACCTTCCGTCTTTGCATGGTCAGGACTCTTCCAGACACATCTCCCCTAGAGGTGGTAGGGGCTGCAGTGAAACTTAGTGCTGCAGAGGACAGGGGGGTGCCTGGCCTGGGACCTGTGGCAGGCAGAGCCTCTCCCCCTGAAAGGGCCACCCACCCAAGGAGATGCAGGTCTTGTTGACTCTGAGCCTGTGGACCCATGGCCTCTCCTCTGAGTCATTAGGCTCTGGTGACAGCACTGGGGTTCTGGGACCAGTACTGTCTAAACTCCATAGACCACGCTGGAGGTCTTTCTGTCACTTCTGAGCTGTGTGACAAGGCATTTGCCCTCCCACAGCCTCACTTGCTACATCTCTGATAAGTGAAGAGCAGCACCCAGGCCGGATGAGGACCTGTGTCTGCTGTAAGTGCTGAAAAGACTAGTCCCCTGATGTTAGAGGCAGTCTAAACCATGCCGTGCAGGGTGGGGAGTCCAGTGACGTTCTGATTCTTTCCACGAAAGTGTTTGTGATGTGTTTTTTGGTGGTGTTGGATCATTTTCCCGGAAAACATTTCTCATCGCCTTTTTAGTGCTCCTGGTCTCTGGGTACTGTGTGTGGTCTGTCCACTGGGCGATCCAGCACCGCTGATTGTTACCACAGGAGGTGTCATGAGGGTCCAGTAAAAACTGTGAATATGCTGGATATAATGTGTTCAGTAAGTGTTGTTGCAGCCTGAATTCAGATCTAGTCTAGTGTCTGTGTTTTTCCTTCAAGGAGAAACAAAGGCCAGGGAAGGTGGAGGAAGAAATGAAATGTTGTCATAGTTCTCATTAACATTAAGAGCAGTAGCCTTACAGATTGGGGAAGCGGTAGGGAATGAAATCCCATTTGCAGGGTGTGCCCTTTGTGTGAGCCGTGTACCCCCCAGCTGAGCTTTCAGCTGTGTTTTGTCATTGCAGGCGGTGTGAGCTCTGCAGGGAGAGCTCGGGCACGTGTCTCCCGGCTGAGGAAGCAGCCAGAGTACCAAGTGACTTGCCCAAGGTTGCTAGATAATGCAGAGCCCTGAGACAGTGAGGGCCGAAGGGGAGGAGGCTGAGGGAAGTGGGGGCTCCCCTGGCCCCCTTGTGAACACTGCTCCATGGAGCTGACAGTGACTCAAGAAAGGGCCTTTTTCCCATCTGGGTTTTTGGCCCTCTCATCCAGGAGCCAGTGCGCTCCATCTTGGCTGGTGCTGTGTTCTGGCGCCGTGGCGTTGGATGGTGGGCATTTGGTTAGCAGTAGCATAGGAAGCCCTTCCTTGCAGACTTGCTTAGGGTCTGAGCCCAGGACTGAGCAGGGACCTAGGGACAGGAGTGGGAGAGGCCAGTATCCTCCAGTGGGGAGACAGGTGAGGGACAAAGGATTCTTCTGCCAGGAATTACAGGAAAGGCTCTGGTTTGCTGGAAAGAGGGTTTGGAAGCTGAGGGAAGGGTCTGTGGAAAGGTTCTTTGATGGCGACCAGGTTTGATTTATTTGGAAAAGGGCAAGTTACAGTCTAGGGCAGCTGGTGTGGAGTGTGGTAGAGAGAGCTGGAACATGGGGCCAAGTCCAGACTTTTCCCCTTAAATCTTGACCAGTAGGTGAGATAGTGGATCTGAGAGCTTTTGAACCATGGCATTAGCCAGGCTTGCTGACAGTTCAGGGTTTAAGGGGCAGAGACAAATCTGGAACACCTCTTAGACATCCGTCTTGGCAACCAGGGTTCTGCTAACTGAAGCAGGGCCTGTGGGCTGGGGAGTATCCGCCGAGCTATGTTACCATCCACCTGGTCGCCTGACGTTTGATGTGCTGTCTGGGGCTGTGGAGAGACTGGCTCCAAACACCATCCCTGTCCTCCCAGAGCTGCTGGCTGGACCCTTGACCACAATTATTTCCCCCTCGCTCTTAGTGACTCTGTTGCTCCAGTCTTGGAACCTCTGCCTGCCTCCTTGGGGGGCCTTCCTAGGGCTCACCTGGTCCCTAAAGCACTCCTGTTACCCCCACCCACAGACAGCCACTT